TTCTTGTCCTTATTTTATTCTGACAATTTATTTGTACTTATAAACTTATTTTTCCCTTTTCTGTAAACTGGCACTGAAAGAAAAAAATTTCCTCAAAGGGATACATATAGTCATTCTGATTCCGATTTGTAAAACCTTTTGGCAGAATTCAATGAGCCATTTTAATGTGAATTAATCTCAGTTAATTTCAAGATTATAGCAAGATTAATCTAGATTTAAGAAAAATTATCTATGCCCACCTAGTTTATACAAATAAGCATACCTTATCAAATATATTGTATAAAATATACATTTAGTGTATTCTATTGTGTATAAAAATAATAAAAATCCCTTGGAAATAAAGTATTTGGCAATTCAAGTGATTGAATAATGATATCTTACTCTGCCATTTTATATTTTGACAAGATTCCTTTATTCTGTTTCCACTGAATGTGTTACAAGAACTCCAAAGACTCACATTTTAGATGCTACTGCACAATGAAGTCAGATGAGCAAAGTATGTGCAAACTCATCAGACCCAGATTGCAGATCTATGTACAATGGTAGAAACATTGGAGAGAGTGACTTGGCTTTATATGATGTGATGAGTGAGAAATTAGTTCTAAGACATTTTTAGGGAGGAAAATAGTAAAATTATATATATTTTTTTTATTATCTCTCTCACAGTGGTCATGCACCAACGAAGATCCTTTCATACCTCTCCATGATTTTTAAGTTGGAGAACTTGCAAAAAAGCAGGGTGATCAAATACTTATTTTCTTCACTGTACAGGCATGTGGCAATGGACAATAACGAGCCTCATTTTGACCTGTTTATGTATATTATATCAAAGTTGGATCAGCCTGTAGTGTGTGTTTTTTTTTCACTTTAATTTTGTATGCAACTCCAAATCCACGCCTCCATTGGCTAATAAATTTGATTTCCACTGATGAATTTTGTGTGATTTTGTTGTTGGCACATTCAACTTCATACAGAATAGTATTCAATGAGAATATTTCCTTTAAATTTAGGATGTATAATTTGAGTGTTTCCTTCATTTTTTGAGCATTGTATTTACTTGTCATGTTCTTAGAGATTATGATAATTGCCTTTCCCTTGTTTTCATAGCTATTAATTTTTAACAATGATGTATTTAAAAGGAAGAAACAAAAAATATAGCTTACCTAAACACAAACAAAGCTGTAAACGTTTGTCATTTAGTACTGTGACCATTTTTATAATAAAGCTTCACTGTGATAAGCACAAAAACAAAGAAAAGATCTTTGTTGAAAATTTGATCTCAAAAATAATTTAAGGATGCCACTATTATAAGGATTGCTACATATAATATTCTTGTGGAAATAAACATTTGCTTGAACAGATTAAAATGAAAACCATATTGCTTAGTTTTTGCCGAGGTTTCTGTGTTGCCCTCAAGGCATTTCTATTGATAAGTTCATAAGGTTGCATAAATAACTCTTAAAATATGTCTATGGTATTAACAATGATTGCAAGTAGTTTAGTTAATCATTTCATGCTCTGTATAAGTTTATATTAAAAAAGAAATATTGTCGGTAAATTGTACTTCGGGTTCCGGTTGTGCACTTCCGGTTTACCGTTTTGCTATGAAAACAGAGAGTAACATGCAAAAAGCAGCACAGAAATGTTATCAGATGCCATCCACTCCGAATTATCAGGCAGGAACGCAGTAAGTTACATTATATGACAGTTTACACTGATAAGTTTGAATATTAATGATGATTTTTGGAAATGTTATTTTGGTGAAGTTGAAGTACTTATTTTTTGTATCGATGTGTAGGTATTGAGATAGTGTATTCTCTGTTATTTCATTTTTGTTATTTCTGTTCTTCATTTGTGGTTTAACTGGGTGTCACCAACATCTTTGTTGAAAACACTACAGTCTCTTTAAAACATCTCTTTTACTAAAAGTAAAAGAAGTTTCCATGTTTATTGATGCAAAAAAGCAAAACCAGCTAATTTTCCTTCAAATCTAATGACTGTCAATGTTTCATTTTTATGTATGTGCCACTGGGCAAGAAAATGCTGTGTAGTCCCAGCTGCGTCCACAGTTAAAAAGTAAATTAGCATCTGGTATAGTTAAAAAATGCATCTATGTAAGCAAACTTGGAACAATAGAAGCCCTCTAACACCCATCAAACCACTAATGCTGTAAAATGGTTAGCAACACCACAGTGAGCAGCGGTAATTGTAATTTGTGCAACTGTATAAATTATGTCAATACATACTAATTAAATCCAACAGAGGTAAGGCATAATAGAAAGCACCTTTACAGGAAAAGTTATCATATAGACCAAACTTTTTTTCATGAACAGAATGGACAGTTTCACTGCCTAAAAAGGCAAGTTCATAAAAACATGCTGTGTACTCATGTCATGTGGAAAACAGACCTGCAAGCAGCCCTGGCTCAGAAATTACATGCAACTATTACCAGTTCATTGACGTTAGTATTTTAGTAGCCATTACTAAAGGCAAATCCCCCATCTTAAAGGGTTTATGCCCGGGCCTCTGAGACAAGAAAACAGCTCTCAGTTTATACGAGGTCATAAAGGACTGTAATGATACTGGGGAAATTGGTTTCTGTGGAGGAGGTGATGGTGGGAGGAGAAAAGGAGGAGGTAGAATGTGGCAAAAAAACGAAGGCTCCAAAAATGCTTAGAAGAGGGTGCAAATTGGAAATGAATGGAAAGTGGTAAAACATAAGACATCAAGAAGGCAGGATAAAGTTATATATGTGTTTACACATACGCAATGATGATAAGCAGCCAATTTAGAGGTGATGGCACATTTTAAAAATTAAGCTTAGTTCAGCTGTCCTTCATTAAAATAAAGCCTGCAGTGCAAAACTGATAGACTTACACAAGCAGTTCAAACTCAATCTGTTCTTTATTAGAAAAACAGCTGGAGGTGCATGACAGCTTGACTGGACTCTCTCACTGGAAACTCTCTCTGACCTTCATTAAACTGTTAAGTGCAGTGGTTCACTAACAATTTAAATGGATGACCTAATCAGTGACATGTGAGCCCGTCAATAAGCTTAATACACAAGAAGGATCTTTTTAAGCAGCACCTCAGGCAGCAAAACTCATTAATTACAGACATTTTCCCATCATTAATCTTCGACAAGTGAAAATAAATATAGATTTAAAATTCATTATGAACCGAACAGCACATCTAGTTACTCCAACTTAAGCACTTCTAATTAAAAAACTTAGCTAGTTAATTTTGATTAAGAAAAAACTGATTTAAAAAGTTGGAATTATGTTAAATCTATTATTATATTTAGAGGTATGTTCTGATTCCATTAGATAAGCCACTTTTTGACCTTACATTCATTAAATTAGTGCAAACTCAACTTTAAAACAGATACTTGGTGCCTTGTAAAAACATTCTTATCTTTCAAACCTTCTTACATTTGGTTATATTACTTGTTGCAACTTGTTGTTGCACTGTTTGGGATTTAAAGCTGGACATACACTGTATAATTTTTGGCCCTTTTCGGGACGATTCTCCAGTCGTACGAGACTTTTTGGAACGGGCCAAGTTTCAGCATCATCATGCGTCCTGCGTCGTGTTGTATATAGGAGGTAACGAGGAGCGATTAGCCTCTCACGACCACCTCCCGATCAGGAATCGTAAGGTCAGTAGAAAAATCAAACATGTTGAAAATTTAAGTTGGCCCTTGTGAGGTGTTTGCGTGCAAATCCTGCTGTTGAAGCAGAGTTAGGAGCGTCTTCCACCTGATTAACCAGAACCTCACACACTGGGCATGTACAAAAAAACTGAACAGTTCTAAATCCAGATCGACGAGTCTGACCAGCACCATTCAGCGCCGAGTCTGACGTGTGGTTTTCGGTTGTGCGGTGTGATCAGGTAGCTCGAATCAGAGCACCAGGCAGCACAGTGTAAGAACATACATTGTGAGCTGAGAACTATTAAACCCTGCGGTTTAATCGTACAGTTTGAGCTGTAGCTAAGTTCAACAATTGAAAATATCATACATGCCCAGCCTTATGTGATACAAAAAATATATTTTTATTGATAAGGTGAGAGGTCTTCAACCCTGTCCTTAGATCCCTCTGTTTAGAACTGCCTCTGCTGCAGCACACCAGAATCAAATAATTGCATTTCCTCCTCAGCAGCATCCAGAGGGCTGGGGAAGCCTGTTAATCAGCCAGTTATTTAAGTCAGGTAAGACAACATCTGAACCATACTGGACAGTGGTACCTGAGAACCAGAGTTGATGACCTCTGAATTAAGTAAAAAAAAAAAAAAAAAACATTTTTTTCAAAAAATTGTTCTCTTTGATCTGTGTTTTCAAGTCTCATTGTTTAAGGATTTTAAATGGTCAAGCCAGGGTGGGGTGGGGTGGTGGGGGGGAAACCTTCAAGTTATCCAGATGTGAGCTGACTCAGTTTTGTCGACGTTGACTTTTTAGTGAATGTCCTACAACTGAAGCACTGACGGGTTGATTAGGGCTCTCCTGCTGGATGGTAAACCTCTACCTTAGTATCATATCTGTGGCTGCATCCCCTGGATGTTCCTTATTTACCTCCATTAATTGTTCCATCATAACTAACAGGTTACCTGTGCTTGTTTAAGAAAATTTTAACTCTGCAGCATGTTGCATCACAACCAATGTGTACTTTAAGCATTGCATGTAAGGGTTTCGATGTGCAGAAGTAGCAGCGTCTTCCAGATGTTTGTTGGCTTTTCAACATCGCTTTTAGCAAACTGCAAAGGAATTAAGAAAGATGCACCCCTTTGAAATATCACATAAAATACCAAAGAAATGCACTAAAAATTTTTGGTTAAAACATGATCCTTACAAAAATAAAAATCTTTGCAGCTCATTTTATTTATAGATGAAAAATAAATTTGAAATTCTAATTTTTTACATGTCAACTAATTCTTCATTCCCTGAGCTCGCAAAATCCCATGAATAAGCTTAGTATGTGCATCGTTTTTTTCATTTGAAATACCTTTAACAGCCTCGTCCACCACTTCCACCACTCGATCAATCTGTTGGACCTGCAGTGCAGAGACACCAGGGAATACAGTTATTGATGGAGCCTAAACAAGCCCACGCGGTCAAACTCAGAATATTGACAGCACACAAACACACATATACTTATCAAGGTTTATTTAAGGAGGTTATGTAAATCCAAACTAAGACAGTGTGCAATAAGTAGAATGGCAAACGAGTGCAGAATGATACTATCACAACAAACTTTCACCAAGAAGGATTGAGTAATATGGATTTCCTAAATGCCAATCAGCGAGTATGTACATAGGCACACTAACATGTATGGTTTGTATTGATCAGTGTACTGGAAATGCAGCATTTTTAATGATGTGAATCAAAAGTCAATGGCAGAGGGGAGAGGTAAAAAAAAGGAGCAGAAAAACACCACGTAGGTAATTAGAAAGAGCCTTCAAATAAGATTACTGAAGAATATCTAAAACCCAGAAATCAGTAAAAGTCATTCTCATTTTCATCTGCAAAAAAAAAGAAAAATCTGCAGTTCTGGCAGCTTAAACCTCTGTAATACAAGCAAAGATAATAAGCAAACCCAATTGGCTACAGCTTAAATTTAATTAGACTGTTAGAAAACTGAATTACATACAAAATAAGAGAAAAAAAATCTCCTAGTGAACAGCACTGAATGTATTAATCTACCATTGTACAATGTGATTGTTAGAGAGAGCGGAATATTAATTGTAAAGAGATTAAAAAGAGGAGCAGAAACCTTAAGAGGTAAAATGTACAATTTTCTTTAACGTAAATATCTGGTTTAATTCCTCTAAGTCTTTCCCTTCCTCTGCTTTCAGATGTTTGTACTTTGGACTTGCCAAGGGCTCCGACTGCCCGCAGGTCCATTACCCAGAGTACTTTTCCAAACACATTCACACGGAGACACACTGTGCTTTGCAGGCACTCGTTCCATGCATGTTACACACTGAAATAAAACCTATTTCCTTGTAATAGCCAAGCAATCTGGATCCATTCAGAGCAGCAGCGGGTGTCTCTTTGTACAGTAAAGGTGTGGTAATGCTTACACTTTGCAAACTAATTTAGATCTCCCCTTTCAACTCTGTGCTCAAATCCTACTTTATATTCATAGAATACTCCACAACTCAAAAATGGAGGAATGTTAAAAACAAGAGGAACCGCCGGATTATGGCTGGAAATAAATATATATTGGAAGGAAAATCATATTATTCAGAAAAATAATTAAAGTTTTGCCAATTCTTTTTATTAAAGAGGATTATTGATCAGCCCCATCGCTTTGTACAAGAAACACATTTATAAAGACACTCTGTACTACAGCCAAAAAATAGAAAAATAAAAATAAGGGAGGGCTAGCTTTATTATTATAAACATTTATCAATATCTTCAACATTTGTAAAGTAAAAATGTTGGAATGTAAAAGAAAGCAGATTAACAGCCTAATTCCTCTAATTAGAAATGAACAATCCTTGGTTTTATTATTTCGAAGCTGAAACGTTAATAAGACGTTTGTTTAGTTGGAGCTTTGGAATCAGAGATAAGTTAGTGTTCAGTCATCAACACATCTACACTGAGCTTTAAAGGTTAGTTTTGAAACCCTTCAAATGTAGCATCATACTGTTGCTATGGTTTCAACTCTATAATATCAGGCCACAAAGCTGCATTTAAATCAAAATCATAAATAAACATAACTTCAATAATAAATAATCTAAGCAGCTGAAAAAAATAACGTTTTCCTTTCTACTTTATATTGGACAATTTTGAAACGTTTTTGATGGATTTTACTTAATAATATCATACAGAGAGAATTTCAATGACTTGCATTATTTTGTTTTTTATCTGTATTTTCTATTCCTAAAGGGGGGAAAAAATGAAAAAAAGTACCTTCATTAAAATAATTAAATCAAAAGACATACTCTGTTAACATTAAAAAAACATCACCTCAACCTTTTTATATGGCAAGTTATAGGTTTATAAAAATAAAATGCATTCAGCACCATTTATGAGTTCAAAACAAAACAGCCAATGGAAAAGCTTTGTTTGAGATATGAGCGCCTCCAATGTCCGTACCCCATGCTATGTCTTTTTTTTTTTCTTTATTCAGTATAGTATATGTCTGTATGTGTGTGTTGGATTCAGAATATGACAAGTCTAGTTAAGATGGGTGAAACACTGCAGGCTTGCGTGACTGCCTCTGTACCTTATATAAAGTGCACTGTCATTCACTCAGACATGAAAACAGATCTACACAAAAAAAGATGAGACACAAAGGTCAATTAAACCCAGTGAATTGAAAAAGGAAGTGCCCGTTTTTAACCAGATCCCTTATCTAGCCGTTAGTGAAATCACAATAGACAAATTCTGAACTCATTTGCATCTAATTTGAATAACCCACCAACTGCCACTGTCATTATGTAGTGGATTGTAGCCACCACAAAAACATAAGCCGTGTTTGTCTTTTCTCATATACCTGTGTGCAGCTTGTCCATGCATGCATGCGATGTATAGGCACATTCAGCCATGTTTACAATGAAGGGAAAAAATAAAAATCAGGGTTGAATGGACTTGTGGTTTGAATGGAAAATGGATAAATACCTTTTACTGGATGTTCAAACGACACATTTCAGAGACTGTTTCATAAGTGAATAAAGCAATTAGGAACCTAATTTAAACAAATGTTCAGAGCTGGGATCTTATCTCAGGTTTAAGATTAAATAATAGAATAACAGGCATAAAACATAACCCTGACAGATCCCTACAAACACAAAAGGAGAACAGGTGTGTGAATTTCTGCCTTTATCAGCCCATAAACTCAACTGACTCATAACAATAAGTCAGGTTACAAAGGTGAACTTCCTGGTTCTTTGTTGCCCCTTGAAAGCTTCCACAGATACAAGCTTGTTAATCTGTATGTAAAGACATGGTGGAAATGAACTGCAATGTTTCAAACCAGTGTACCATGTTTACTGGAAGGAATAACTATCTAAGCCTGTTTGTAACTACAGTGGAACAGTCTGCTAATACTGTGCTCCTCAACAAGCCTTAAAGCAACAATAAAACTCTCACCAAAAAATAAATAAATCTGCTATTTTCAAGGTTTTAACATTTCAAGATAATGACACCTCTTCAAAAAATTCAGAACGGTTTTATTAAACTATAACAGCGGACTAATTTTCCTTTGAGCTGCATAGCGCTCCACTAGCTTTTGGATATTAAAATTTCTGAGTTTCAGGTTTAAAAGCTGCTCAAAAGCAATTTGAAGTTGGAATTTTGATTTGCACATTTAACCTTCACTAGTCCTTGTTTGCCAATTCAAAAGTTCTTTTTATTTTTGATCATGCAACAGCACTGTTCAGTGTTTGTTTTGTTTTTTCAGTGTTTTTTTTGTTTTGTCTTAATTCAGTGTTTTTTTTTCTACTTGCTTTGATTCTGTTTTACTTTCCTATATTTTAAGCACTTTGCATTGTCTTTGTACTGAATTGTGCTATACAAATTAATTTGCCTTGCCTTGCCTTGCCTTGGAAGACTAGCAGCTATTTTCAGATTCTATTAAGTGTCCAAAAAAGAAGCAAGATGAAGCACTAACGCTGTAAGGAGTTTCTTAAGTACCAGCTATTCATTTAGATTGTTACAAAAAAAAACTAGACTTTATTAACTTTTGGCTTTTTTATATGCAAAAGACCCCTGATTGATATGATTGCAGAGGCAAATTTAAAGTCCCTGATTTAAATCAGTATGTCTTAAGTTTGATTAAACCCTTTTTTATAGTGCCTACTCATAGAAGGTGTGCTATAAACAAATATTTAAATATGATTAATCTAAGGTGAAGTTCCATTTTTTTTATCTTTATTGAAATAATTTTGAATAATTTTATAATGCCCCCATTTTTTTTATTTTGGGGAGATTTCCTTTTTTTCAGAATGGATGACTTTATGATTGTGCTTTTATTTTATTAACTTTTTAAAGAAACACAGAACCAGTTTATATCCTCAAACAGACCAAGACTAGTCGCCTGCAATGGGGAGAATGTAGTTAGTGAATTACCTTATGAAATAAAGACATAACTTAAAACTTTTTTCCCTCCTTTTTCTCTTTGAATTACATTTTATTTAAAGATGAAACTGTGTCGAAAAGAGCTTAACCTTAAATAAACAAAAGCACAGCAACGGCGTTTGATAGTGCAGTGCAATATATTGTGATCGGCTAAGTAAAGCAATAACAGTGGTTAGCCTGATCACCAAGAAACACTCATCCATTCTTGTCCTATTCTACTGTGACTAGGCATGGCTAAGTTGCCTCTGACACATTTTTGCACCAAAGCTGAATAAAATAAAACAAGAACAGTAAAACTTCTCAAACACATACCCCTATAATGCTGAGGCCTTTCAGGTATTCCATCCGTGGCTGGGCTTGGGGTACACAACCTGCAACGACCACTTTCTTCTGCTGCTCCTGAGCTTTCCTGCACAAACACATAAAAGATAAGTCTAAGATAAGACCAATATTTTTATTTTTACCAGCCTGCCTAATGGAAGTAGCATTTTAATTACTATTAAATCCAATTTTAGTTAAACCAACCTGGAAGAGATTTTACACATTTAGCATGATAGGGTAAGGTTAACATTTTCCAACAGCTGCTTAGAATTATAATAAACTTTCCTGTCATTTAAAAAATACTGTGGGTTCATCAAGCTAAAATGTAGAAACTTTCAACCCACATACGAGAATCAAAAGCTTTAATGATCTAACAGACTTAGTGCATCCAGCACCAAATTAAATCCTCCTCCAAACTGTGTGCAACCGTTTGTCTCACATATGAATTGCAAATTTTGAATCTTCTGAATCCCTGAACTCAAACTATAAATGTATTTTGAAGGAGGAATGATGCTCGATCTGCCTTAAAGTCAGAGGACGGTGAAACTATCTCAACTAACACAAAAACAAAAATAAATCTGAAAGTGGCCAAATTAAAAGCAAATATGTTAAACTAGATCTGCTAAAACAGCCTGTTTTAGGACTCCATGGTGGGAAAACATCCAAACAAAAATCTAAGGGGTTAGAAGGTTTTTGGAAGTTAGATTTTAGTAAAAAAGGATTAAGAAATTCATATTAGAAATGTCCAAGTAATTTATGTATATAGTGTTAAGTGGCCAGTGGCAGTCATTTATAACCGCAGATAATTTATCAGTAAATTATTATTCAAAACAATAAACCGTGCATTATATTCAGTTTAAAAGAACTAAAAAAAGCTTAGCAGCAATTTAAACAGTGTCCTTAACTGAGAGGAAAACGTGTGTGCGTGTGTGCACACCATGTGCACAAGTCTCCGTGTCACCTCAAGTTAGTGGCAGTGAGATTTGAGTCACGCGGTCTGTCTGACAAAAGCTTTTGGAGGAGCTGCCCAGACTCTGCCATAAATCTTTAATAATGAAGCCTCCTGACAGCTGGAGTGGGAGAAGGAGGGAAGGATGGAAGAGGGGAGGCACATAAGTAGGGAGAAATCGTAGGAGGAGGACTGGGGACGGCAGTGAGGCTGGATGCAAACTGTCAGTAGTGTTTTAATTCACACTGTTTGTATTCTTCAACAAAACAAAGAGCTAGTGATGGAGGGGGAGGACGGTGTAAGAGAAGGGAATGTGAAGGCAGACAACTCAATTCAAAGCCCGCTTACATTGTCACATGAATGAGAACTGCAAGGATAGATGAAAAATGGTGGGAGATGAAGGAAAAAAGGTGAAGCCAGGAATCAAAAAGCGTTTTTGTTGTTTATTTTAGAAACAGATTCCTTATTTTGGGCCAAGGAAAGATTATTTATACTCTGAAACGCTGCAAAAAGGTTCAACAATATATTATGTGTGTTTTAATACACACCAACACATTTCCAAGAAGGCTGATGGGTAATTACAAAGAAGGCTGACAAAGAAGTAAAGATAACACAGCGGTGGACACAATGGCTCATTTTACATCACCGAGCCCAGGCCGATTTACAATGTGTGCACAAACTGTCAGAGTTTTATCTTCTGGCCTTATGCCATTTTCAGAAAGTAAGGAACAAAACCTGTGTTATTGTAACTGCCTTTTTATGGTGTCAACAGACTGTAAAAATATACAAAGCGATGGAAGAGTATAGTGGCAAAGCCAAATAAATAAATGACAGGAGGTATCAAATTCTGAACAAAATTTGGAGAATTTAATTCACTCTGCTGAGACTGAGCCGAGTGACTCACCTCACTTCTACTATTACAACAATAACAATTTCAATTGGTTAAATAACTATGCCTTAACCCAATGTACAAACAAACACTCAAGAGATGCCTCCGGTAAGTGTGCCTTACTCTCCCAATCAAATTCACAGCCATGAAAATCTCTCTTCTCTTCAGACACACACAGCAGGGGTGCAGCTGCCTAATTGACACCGTCTCATGCCAAAATGCACCAAACGTCCCTTTAATGTGCTTCTCGCTCCCTGCCCATAGACTCACAGCCATAGCTGACATGGCGAGGAAGCAAAAAGCGCCTGAGTTGCCGACTGAGCGCCCCGGTGGGATCAGGCCAATCACGTCGAGCACAATTCCTGGGTGGGATGAGTTGGTGGGGGGGGTTGTGGGATGCAGTTGCTATGGTGATGCTTAATAGCCTAATAGAGCTCTCGTTGCTAGTGACCCAGACTTGAGCAGATGTCCCCCAAGATCAGACGACAGGGATGGGTGTGTGGGGAGGTGTGTGTGTTAGCTTGTGAACACATCCCTCCCTCTCTTCTTGCTTTCCTTCCCAAATCTCTGCAGCCCTCCCTTAACTCTGCCACTTCTCCTTACAGTCTCGACACCACAGGGTCAAACGTGGTCTCAACATACTGTATATACACATTTAAGCAGTCAGGGCTGGTGATGAGTGCAGTATTGGGAGGTCTACACATAGATGGCTGACCTCTGTGGTATATGTGCGAGGGAACGCTGCGCTGTACACGCTTGTTTTTAACAGCCGAGTGGACACAGTGAATAAGTTAAATTAGACTAGACTAAATGTCCAACTGAATTGATCGGGTTGACTTCGAGATGCCCCCCTGCTAGGAATATGACATTAAGTTACCCTAGGCATCAGATGGACCAGAGAGCATGACCCATTTAAGAGACTCTTCAACTTTCACACAGCAAAATCTAAAGTGAAAGAGAAAGTGTTCCTTAGAGGATTGGGACAATCTTCCAGAGGGCTTTTTCAGACCCATTTGATGGTAAACAGCTCATACTCCTATCTATTATACAAAAACAAGTACCGGTAGGATTAAATCATTTTTCTAACAAAATTAAAAAAGAAAGCAACACGCATTAGAAAATACTTCCCTTTCTATCACACAACCCACACTGGCTGTGGGTGGTCTCTGGCTGATGTCCAGACTTGCTCTATTGAGGCGTCAACATGTCTGTTAAAACTGCCCAATGCTGGAGTCCAGTAATCTCAGCCAACACGGCACTCCCACTGCGCCCCCTTTGCGGTGCTTTAGCCAATGCAGTTGGTGTGAAACGGCCATGATGCACAGGTTAACCAATCAGATGGCTTGATTAACAGATGGAGTTCCTAATAAATTTAAATATTTTAATGAGTCAATTAAAAACGTTTAACCTTCTGTATAATGAATCTATATATGGAGTTATATATATTTAAAGTATCAATTTACGCAGTTCTGGAAAATTCCGGCTCACAGTTTTGCAGAAAATTTGTGTATTAAGACCAAGTAAAAATGATTTCTATAATAGAAACATATGCTCCGCCCATATTATCGCCCACATGGTTAGGGGACAGCTGACGAGATGGCTGTGCATCAAATAGTCAATGTCCATTTTCAGATCATCATTTCTTCTGTGATCTAAACATTTTTAACATGCTTTATGGGGGGTTGAAGTCAACCCAGCTATTTCAAACACTCTATCTGCTTGCAGAGGCAGTCATAAACCTAGAACCATTATGAGGAATATGAGGATATAGGGGAGTGAGGGATGAGTGTTGCTTTAAAGACAGCCTTAGCAGCACATGAACACCACAGATATGGCCTAAGCAGATAGAGCCTGTGAGCTTTGGTTCGGATACCCAACTACACTGTCCAGAGGGACGACTGTCTTAGTCTGCTTTGTCTCATCAGGTCCAAAATCACATCAACTAAACATTTTCAGATCACCTCATTCTTCCTTTAGCTGAAAGGCTCTATAGAAATGCTGATTTAATTTTGGAACCTCTCCTCATGGCCCAAGGCACCAAAAGCTGACTGAATAACCATGGTGTTACTGTGCTTGATTGGCAAACTGCCTTAAAATAAAAAAAGACCCATCATAATATTGTAAGAAGACATTGCGAGAAAAGAGGCTTACTGAGAATCTTTGTTGCACATCTATTTGAACAGTGAAACAAAATAATTTGGCGTTCTATAAATCATACGAGCCAAAATCATCAAAATGAACAAAGGTTTAAGTAGTATTCATTAGAAACGCTGTATGTAATGAATCCATATAAGAGAATTTTAGCTTTTTGAAATCAATTATTCAATGAAATTGCAGACCATTAGGATGTCCTGTGTTTTTATGGCACACTTCAGCACTGGGACTGCAGGCCTTAATGCTAAATTCAGATTTTTTTTGTGAAATCTCATTTTTTTTGCGTTGCCGTTCACATTTCCAAATACATGTGACTTGAATGTGATCTCCTGTGTGAACTGCAGTCATACAACGCAAGTGTCCTGCATGCGCAGTAGAGGACGCAATGACATCACAGGCCAGCGTGCTCCGTGTTTATGGAAATAAACATGTATGGTAGTGTGGGAGCGCATCTAGCGATCTTTCCCAACCATAAACACAATCTTTTCAAGATGGTTAAACATAAATACTGCTGTCCACATCGTCGTCCGCCATGGTTGTTGTTTTTCTTGCCACTTCGTCATAGCAAGACCCAGAATAGTGACCTTTGTCAGGTATTAATGGCGTTCAGGTCGGATTAATGCGACCTGGCTGTTAAGACACAGTTGGCATTTGAAAAGATAAGATTCGTATCGGATTCAGGACCACATAGCCAAGCACTCTGGGTCGCACTGAAAACAAAAATCAGATCCATGTTGTTCAGACAGCCCTGAAAAGATCAGATACAAGTCGCAAGTGGGCAAAAAAATCTGATTCGGGTCACTTCAGGCTGCAGTGTGAACGTAGCCAAAGAGTCACTTCAGAAACAGGGAGGAAAAGCTAGCTAGCTGGCATGAGACACAGACATCCCAAGTCTCCTGGAAGTTCCGGGAGTCTCCCTGATATCGATAGTTGTTCACGGATGCCCACTAGTCGGATAAATTGTCCCGGATTTTAGACTAAAGGAGGTGGTGTTTTTTTAATATGAGTGAGAGCGGGCAGGCAATATAATAATTCGTGCACCATGTGTGGATTAGAACTACTGAGATTATCGATTATAATCTCCAGGACATTAGTT